TCACCAACACACCGATGCAAAAGAAAACAAAGCTGGCAGCAATAGGACCGATAAAGGTCAGAAAAAAGGACGTGAGAAAAATGGGCGTGCGTCTCTTCAAGTCTCAGTGTAGAAGAGGACGTGTGGCGCGGGAAGTTTCCAGAAGTTTACTCCTCGTGGCTTTTCTGTTCTCTGATTGGCTGCTCAGCATGTTGACACCGCGTGATTCAAAAGTGATTTCGGAATGATACAACTAAGGGCCAAATTAAAGCAAAGCTCTGTTCCCGTCGTCCGGCATAAAATCAGTATTTCTTACCTTTCGAAAATCACAAAGACATTTCAATGTTTTCCTTTGGATCTTGTTTTATTTATTGAATTGGACGTGGGTTTAGGTAGTCTATACATACTAAAATCTCCTTGTCTTATTCAGTACTTCGTAGACAATGGACCGTATATTCCAGGGGCTCATTTGACAATAGTTTGCCATACTTCAGCTACTTACACTACAGGAAGCAGATACTTTATAAAAGGTTTTTTTTTTTATTGTCCAAACAGTACCCGTGCAGTCGCAGCCTTTATACGGCTGAATTGATGCAGGGTATTACATAATATTTGTCTTCACTTTATTTGCATATCAATCAATAGGTTGTGCTTATAAACCTGTTTTCCCCTCTGGTCTCTCAGTCACTGACGAAAGCTAGTGGATACTAGCTGAAACGTCTGACGTTTTCAAAATCATATCCAGTTGCTTGAGTAACTGCTTTTTGGGGTATTACATAATAATCAAGACAAATCACAACAATCAAATAATACACATGATACACATATTTGTTCCATAATTTTTTAAGTAACTGTCGCAAGGGTCTATACGGCAGCCATTCGGCGCCAGGTGACCTCAATACGACTTTCCCTTGCCGAAGTCAGGTACCCATTCACACCTGGATTGAGTGAGGAAATTCGTGTAAAGTGCCTTTCCCTAGGGCACAACGTCGGGGCGCATGTTCGGACATGTCCCGGGTACGACTCGGAATTGAACCCGCGTCTCTCGGTTCATAGTCAAACGCTCTAACCACTACACCACCCGACGCCACTTTAAATATTAACCCCATATTTGCCTGTATTAGACAACAGACTTACCAAAGATAGCGTTTGTGAATATCGTGTTTCTCTCTGCCATTTCAAGAACTGGCAAATACATTGTAACTGTTACAATTATTGTTCAATGGAGTTTGATTTGATCATATAGATACATCTAAGCTGATAAAGATTTTGTAATCTGTCTTTATTATTAGCAAGCCCTGAAAGGAAGATAAAATAAAAGAAGCGTCTTATAAAAAATTGGAAATTAAGATTTATCTGCATGTAGAGGATACCAAGAAAAGAGTAGACGTCTAGGGTACCTTGGAGTTATGTAAACAACATTCAGCATTTAATAATACAACAAGATAAAATTTTCCTTGTACGAGACCACCTAATATTGTCCCATTGTCAATCGTTTAAAATGCTATATTAAGCCCTGTCACACATAGCCAAATATGGCCTCTCAAATATTAGCCGAATTCCCCAACCATAGTTGTAGGTCGGGAGAATGTCGTCCTTGTGCCATACGAATGTTTTTAGACATCGGAATGTTCGACAGTAGGACACAAGTATTCCGGGGATCAATTTTGACTCAAATTTAACTTTGAAACGTATAGAAAGATAGAGAACTAGAGAGGCCGACATCTGCTTGGGAGCAAATACAGCATATTTCAGTCCATCTCCCTCCCACGCAAAAGTGGACTATTCCAAACTTACCCCAGTGTAAAACTGGCAAAGATTCTCAAATAAATGAATTATATAGTAGCTATGAAATTGAGAACAAAGATGCAAGAACAAGCACATTGAATCTCGAAAGCTTTACTTGTCTTATAACAGGTATGCAAATACTAACAATGATGAGATTTGATACATTTTGAAGGTCTTAGGCACATAAAATTGAATGTGTGGGTCATTCCGCACGACTTACGTGCAATGTGACCTCAGGTAACCAGCAATGGAACACGTGTTCCATGGCCAACGACAGATGGAACAGGTCATTCTTTAGATAGAACATGGAACGGGTATAGCACTTTTGGCCCTTTTTTTGCTGAAAGTAGCCCATGATTAAAGTCCCCCAAATGAGTCATTTGGAATTGGTGTATGCCAAATATGTGACTGCTATTCTGTAGACACATGTTCAAGGTACCTTTATACCGAATTTCAGATCATTTGGTTGTAATACCAGGGCTCAGGATCCAAAAATCCATTTTTGGCGAAAAATGCCCCAAAAAACCTTCATAAAAATTTTTCAAAGGCATGTATCAAAAAAAAAAAAAAAAAAACGCCTGGGGGTATTGGCTCACTCTACCTCTATGCCAAATTTCAAGTCATTTGGCTGAATGATGGCTGAGTTGAATCCCTTTGACTGTGTGGCAGGAGGAGA